TCAGACAGTCCTTTGGTTTTTACATGTTGGCAACATGTTCTGTGTATCTGTAGATACATCTTTTTGCAATTAGGCATCACATTGAGGACATTGCACTTTGTGAGAGGTGGAGAGGAGGACTGGGTAAATAAAGGTAGTAAGGTGAGATAAGAAATAACTGCTGAATGGGAAAAACTTTCTCCTATATATCAATGAGAGATGCCATGCCAAAAGTGCTAGGTCATTGTTTAATCATTGGGGTTAAAATAGTTTTATGCTACAGTTTGCTGATTAAAAGTTATTCTTTAAACACTCCTTGTCCACCTTACTTGAATGTGTCTTGATAGCATACCACTGATAGGATTAAGGTACCTAACTTAAGCCTTTTAGGTTTAAGAGAAAATTAATATGTATAGAAATTTTTTTACCAGAAGGATTCAATTATTTTTTATATCCATACTAAACCATATGGTATAAGAAGAAATTATTTTAAATAATATCTCATCAGGTTTTTTTGTTTCTTGGTTTTTGTTTTTGTTTTTTTTTCTGTTTGTTTGTTTGACAGTGTCTCACTCTGTGCCCTGGGTAGAGTACCATGGCGTCATAGCTCACAGCAACCTTAAACTCTTGGGCTCAAGTGATCCTTCTCTTTTAGCCCCCCAAGTAGCTGAGACTCCAGGTGCCCTCCACAATACCTGGCTAATTTTTCTACTTTTAGTAAAGACTGGGTCTTGCTCTTACTCAGGCTGGTCTAATACTTCTGAGCTCAAGGGATCTTCCTGCTTCAGCTTCCCAGAGTGCTAGGTTGAGAGCCACTGTGTCTGACCCATCAGGTATTTATTAAGCATCTACATGTTGCAGGCATTGTGCTTTAGAATTACTTAGAAGGGCAAAAAAATGCTGGAATATGTTGCTTTTAAGGTCTCATGGAGAAGCAGCATTGCAGAGAATAACACCCACAATTAAAATTGTATGGAAATAAAGGGGACCACCACTGTCTTATGGCATGTGGCAAGCGTCTTTATTTTCTCCTGGCTTAAATAGCCAGCTCTGCCCATGCGCACTGTTAATCAACACATCAATGACTTCGCTGATATTCATTACAATCCATAATTCATCTCATGACCAAACATCATTCATTACAATCCATAATTCATCTCATGACCAAACATCATGTGACTATCTCGTGACCAGACCCTCCCTGACCCAGAGCCTAGTAATCTACAGATTAACTGATACTACTTTATCTAATTTATTCCTCCTGAAAATACCTGACTTAATGGAGAACATGTTGCTAGCCATTACTTCCTTGTTTCTATCTGCTAAAGTCTGAGGCCCTGGGGGAGAAAGATAGATTGAATACCTGCCCTACTGGCCTCACCATCTGGAGGCAGTTACTTTAATATTTAAGCAAGGCATAGTCAGGAAATTCCTAAGACATACAGAAACTTATTCGTAAGCCTCTACTCCCATGTGGGCCTTAAGTCAGGGGATTCTTATGCCCACAACCAACCAGGCTGACCTTAGGTCAAGGGGGTTTTATGCCTGCAACCAACCTGGTCATATGGGATTCTGCCTCAGTTTCTCACAAGTATGCCTGCACAAAGTCTTTTCACTGCTCTCTCTCAAACAGGTTTTTCAGCCAGAGGCATATAGGCCTTTCGCCTATAGAATAGATTACTAAGTATCCTGCCAATCTTGGCCCTCCTGCTTATTTCTCCACAGAGTCAGACCAATCCTCATGTAACACAAATCACCCTGTCCCCTCACTGCTACTGCTGAATCCTAATCAGTGGCTCCCTATTGTTGTTTGGATGAGAAAATATCAGCTCCTATGTGCCTCAATTTGCTTCATGTTGTGGACCTTGCTAACCTCCCTGGGCCTTACCTTTTTAGTACCTTGCCCATAAATGTTGAATTCCATCATGTTACTTTATTACCCTGAATATAACTACTCTTCCTCCTGGAAATTGAAATGTACTATTTTCCCTATCTGTAAAACTTTTCATTTCTCTTGTTTGTCTCTCTGTGTCCATCTTCTCTTTCTTTTCACTTGGTTAATTGCTATTTCAGGTTTTAACCTTGATACAATTTTATTTTAGGAAACCTTCCCAGACCCCTTACAGCAGTTCAGCCTGCTTCCTTTAGCCTCTTACAGTATCTCAGGACTTCCAGCCATTGAACTTCCCCCACTAAGGCACTCATGAATCGGTCATATCTGCTCAGTTGTTATGGGATGGTGTCTTGCTAGCTATCCCCAGAGACTAATGTAGCACATAACTTAAAGTAGGTGTATGCAATAATTATTAATTATATATAATACATATCATGGTCCTAGGAAGTTATGCAAAAAACAAACAACAAACACAATCCTTGGTGTATTAAATTGATTATAGCTTCTTTCTTTCTTTCTTTTTACTCTGTAGTGCTAAAAAGAGAGAGAAAGCATCTTTCCATTTAAGTTATGAAAACAGAGGATAGTAGGTGATCAATCGCCATGATTCAGAAACCTAAAGTTTGTGCTGGGGCTATGGGCAAAAAACAGAATGATTTAAAAACTCACAAGCATTGGACTTGCGAGGAGACTGTTTAATATAACTATGTAAAATATGTCCCAGGAGCAACAAGAACATATAAAGAAACTACTGTATTTCTATTTTTAGGCACCTCACTTCAGTTGAGCTTGGTGCCAGGTACATGGTTGCTTTGCAGCCTGGGATAGAGTTACACTCTCTGCTTTGCATTTCATTCCCCTAGTTATTTACATAATCCCTCTGACTGTGCCTATCAATTCACAGACCAAAAGGAATCCCATCATGAGTACACTAAGTCACCTTCAGTAGAGTGCTGTGATGTCACAGCTCACAGCAACCTCAAACTCTTGGGCTTAAGTGATTCTCTTGCCTAAATAGCTGTGACTACAGGTGCCTGCCACAACATCCAGCTACTTTTTGTTGCAGTTGTCATTGTTTTAGCTGACCCAGGCTGGGTTTGAGTTCATCACCTTTGGTGTATGTGCTATGGGTGCTGAGTCAGTTCTGCAAGTATTTTTAAGGATCAGATAGGCCACCATGTTGACTTTTTTAAAATGTATCAAGTGAAAATGCTTGGAAATTAACAGAAAGTAAATCAAGAGAGAAATTACTCCTTTCAGTAGAGATATATAATGTAAATTTTTATTAGCACAAAATGATAGGCTAATAAAAAAAAACAGAGCACATTAAGATGTCTGAAGGAGCCAGGAGAACTGAATATCATGTTACTTGTGTGCTTTAGATGAATTTTCAATACTAGGATGATGGGAAAGAAAAACATCTCTTCTGATGTTATCTCTTCTGATGTTAAGAGACTTTTTACTTCTTAAACAGAATTGCTGAAGCTGATTTCACAAAGATTTTCTTGTATGCTTTTAGACATTTAGATGTTCCCTTTCTTAGAAGCCCATTTCTAGAAATTGAAATAACTACGGTTAACTCATTAGCCCAAATAAGAAATAATTCTCCTGTATGTCACTGAGAAAGGTCATGCCCAAAATGCTAAATTATGGTCACACTGTTGGAGTTAAGTTTTATGCTAAAGTTCATAGTAAGATAAGATAAAAGTTATTCTTTAAAAAGCTCCCTATGTATTACTTAATGTTACTAAGCATAACTCATTAACTCCAATATGATCTTCAAAGCCAAGAAATACTTAATGAAAGTTATTTATTACTTATTTTCTCATTGTTTTTTTGCCTTATTAAAATCTAGCTATGCTGTCATACTTCTTCAAGTTAAGGAAAAATCCTGAAGGAATTTTATGTCAAGTATTACCCAAATATGCCTTAAATACAGGTGGAAGAGGAGCCTGAAGTTCACACAAATATTAGGTCTCGGGCAATTTAGCTCTGAGCTAAGAGTTGGGTGCATGTGTTCCCGGCTGGTTCTACTTCCATGTGACTTTAAGTAATTCTGCATCGCCTTTCACTGTGCTGAGGATTCTTAAACTCAGAATCACCTGGAGAACTTGTGAAACTACAGATAGCTGCCTCTCCTCCTCGGGGTTTCTAATTTAGTAGATTAGAGCAGGTTTGCCAAATTGGGATTTCCTAATGAAGTCCCCAAGTATTGCAATGCTATGGGACATATTTTGAGAACAAGGTAATCACATATTTCCGAGACTGACCTCCTACCTGACAGGACAAACAGAAAGGTTACAGTGTGATGTAATGGGATGCCAGAATGTGTGTCGTGGTCTTTAGATGACAATTTGGGGGCAGTGTGCTTTTATGGGAATGGAATCTGGAAAGGCATGTAGTAGAGAAGCACCTATCGGGATCCAACTCCTATTATTCTCAGGTTATTTCAGTCACAGTAAAGATGAGAAATGAATCGCAACCTAGGTAAGAGCAAAGAAACACCAGAGAAAAGTGAAGAACTTGCCAGAAAATCCCAAGCTCTGTCTTTGCCCATACTATATCCTGAAGCTCAAAAATCTAAAATTACACGTGAATGTACAGGGGCAAAGTTGACTGACAGTGATCCTGCTGGTAGAAATATGAAGGTCTTTTCTTCCAAAGAAAGTCACAATTATCATTATTTTTGTGTTCAAAGAAAAACAACAAGGTTGAATGTGTTTTTTAAGTGAAGTGTGAAGAATTATTATGTGTATTTAAATTTTAACAGAAAAAGAACAAATTTTCAGATACATATAAAGAAATATTCACATGTGTAGTTAAATGTGGCATAATACATTTATAAAAAATATATTTTCTTGTAGGAATACCAAATTATGAATAATATTTATAAGCTCATAAACTTGGAAGGAATATCAAGATGAACTCCCTTTTTATCTTCAAGGAATACCATGATGAACTCCCTTTTTATTTTATTTTATATCCAAATTCCACTGTAACTTTTGCCATTATATAAAATTATGTAAAAAGAATTTTCTTCTACAACTTAACTGAGGTATCACTTATTAGAAGCAGCCCTTATAAAAATTTTCAGCTTTTTAAAATTTTTTATTTTTTTTTATTTTTGCCATTTTATTTTTGTGTGTATACAAATTTGCTTAAAATTAGTGAATTTCTAGGCCAGGTTCAGGTAATTGAAGGGACTTTATAAGTAGTTTATATTGTCTAGATCCAAGATATGCTGTAAACACAGTCTGGAGCAAAATGGGAAATAACATCTTTCTAAAGATAGGCTTAAAAATTCTAATCCAGTATATTAAGATGTTTCCTTTTTCTGGTAGCGGAGCTGACTGATACCTGGCTGCTAGGGAAGCATTCACTGGTATAGCCAAGAAAACAGGATACAGACCACCAGAAACAAGACCAGTCAATCCACTCTGGGTTACAGTACAGGTTTCACGGTTCATTTCACCTGTAGTCAAAGGTAAAGTTACAAAACTACTGTAAGCTATATCTGTTGTCAGAAATGGAAGCACTGCCATTGGTAAGCCAGCAGCAATATGAGCTTTTGTCACATTCAACGTGTATCAAAGAAGACTGTTTGATATTAGGCCACGAAGAGCAGCATTAAGTCCAACATATACTGATCCATGTTCAAGTAAATTCCTTTCTGTTTCTGGAAGCTGATTAATTTTTCTGGTTATGGTAATGAAATAAGTTTGGTTTTCCTTAGTATCATCTGGTTTATGATTTTCCATAGTGAGCCTTATGCTCTCCTCCTCTCAGGAGCCGCTGCCCTCTCAATTTTCCTCAGCTATGTCCGAGATTCACTGCAACCTTTGTCTAACTCTCTTGGGTGCACCCATCTTTGGCTGACACGTGACTCAATCTGGCAAAAAAAATTGAGCTTTAATGGACTTGCTACAATGGGATTTGTCTTTTAAAAGTGATTTTCTTTTAAACGTATTAAGTTGAGTGTTTTTTCTATTTGTACATCATCTTCTATGTAGAAGACTCCTTTGTTACTGCAATTAGCTGCCTCTTCATAGAGTAACCAGACAATTCAGTATATTTATAGTGAATGACATTCAATAAATTATATTGCTGTAATCAGTATTAAAACACCTCCCAATTCAGTGGACATCAAGTAGAGAGATAGGAAAAGACACCTGCTTTCTCTAAGGGAAAGTGCAGGAACACTCTGTAGGAATTGTCAATGGGAAAGAGAATAATTTGTTAACCTAGAACCTGTTTGTGTCATTTACTCATAAAAATCATCAAGTTCATACTAAGTCAAGTCCAACAGGTTATGTTGGACGTGTATGAGCTCCCGTATAGATTTTGCAAACTGAAAAGATGTGGTAAAGAAAGACATTCAATGTTAATGATTAATTGGCTCTTCATATGTTAGATACTTTATCACGGACTGCTATTGGGTGAGAAAATGTATGTACAGCATCTAGACAACAATGGTTTGCATTCTGAATTTTTAAGTACATACATTTAAAACAATATAATTTTTAAGGAAAACAATTTTACAGATTTTCTGCTATAAAAACTTGGTGTTTTTAATTTCTTCAGAGTTTCAAACTTTGATATATTTTTAGAAAGTGTAAGTGTGGATCATTTCAATGAATAAAATCATGAATGATGAAAATATTCAATTTCTGAAACAGGTGCACAGATTTAACATATACTTGGCATGCAAAATTACTGCAAACTTTAAGTTCAGCTGAGCAAAAGCACTTCAAGAATTTGAATGATATGTATCCACTTGGAGAGGAAAGTTTATTATATTCAATTTTTCTGTTACTTCATGTAACTAAGTTTGTATAAAATCATAACAGAATAAATCTCCAATGCTTTTTCTTCCATCAAAATAACAGCTTATCGCTAAAAGGGGTGAATATTCTTCACAATATAAGAGCAAGATATAAAAGTAGAGAAAATAGTGTAATATAACTTGTAATAAACATTGATTTTTCTTCTAATGCTTGGTATATCTTTGTGACTGTTCTATTATTCCAGGGCTAGAAGAGTGAGTGGTGGTATGAATATTTAGAATTGTGTCCATCATTTTACTTCCCAACCTACAACTAAAAAATCTACATATATAAAGGATAAAATTTGTCTTCTCTGAATATTTCCTCTATATAAAAAAGCCACTCTTATTATTAAAGAAATAAACTAAGTATTCCCTTCCTTCTTTGAAAGTATAAACATACAGAGTTCAAGTTAGATCTGTAGGAGGTACTCTTTTATTTTACTGAGGCAACATTTGAGTTATTAGTGTTTTAAACAGAAAAATTATAATTTGACTATTGTAGCTATCAAAGTAATTTTATAACAAAAAGATTACAATTGGTAGAGTAAGTTAATAAATATAGAAAGCTAATATAACAAAGTAGACATTCATTATTTTACAAAATCTGTTATATAAACCCATATGTTTTGTTGAGATATTACTTTTTGTAGTGTATTAATAACTTCTTTATCTGAATATCATTTCTAAAGATTTTTTATTGTTTTGGGTGCCAAACCTTTAAAAAATTCAAAAGTATGGGAGGAGGGGCAAGATGGACAACAAGTGTCAGCCTCTGACAGAAGCTCCTATCCAGAGGGAAGGATAATGTCCAGAAAATACCCAATAAAGTTGAGGCCTGGGAGCCCAGGAGAGAGAGAAGAGTGATATCTGCAGACACCTCTGCTGAGGCAAGTTGTGACTCCAGGAAAGCAATCTACAGGTACATAATACATCCCAAAGTGTTCATCCCTTCCACCAAGAAAGTTGTGTTTTTCTCTGTTTTCTCTTTGTCTGCTCCTATAAGTTTTCTACAATGGAGCAGTGAACTGATTACCTAGTATCTCACCCCACGTGTGAGAGCTACAGGAAGCGGGATCTACTTCCCTAGAGGGACTCTGCTGAGATTCCAAACACTCTCTCACCAGGCAGAAAAATTGAACCAACATTTTCACGACCATTTTGAATTTCCAGTCCACCCTTTCCCCCTTGCCTACAGAGACAGTGAGGGGAGGCCCAAGAGCAGTATCCTCCACCCCTGTGGCACCAAGTGCCCAGTAGTGGCCCAGCACCCAAAGACCTTCTGCAGCCATGTGTTCCCCAGGTAGAAGCGATTCCTGCTCCTGCTGCAGGAGACCTGATAGAGCTGTGTGCCCTCAACAGGTGGCAGCAGTGGAGCCAATCCCTGCCTCAGGCACCCAAGCCAGGTAGCCCCAGAACTGCTAGAGCCATGCATTCTGGGGGGTGATCCCCGCTCCCAGTTCCTCCACCCAGTGGCCCCAGAACTGCCAGAGCCATGTGCTCCTGGCAGCCACAGCCGGCAGCCCGAGAACTACCAGAGGATGGTCAGTTGAGAGGGAACCACACTGAAATGGCGGTATCCTGAGGTGAAGTGTCAGAAATTGAGTTCAGAATCTGGATAGCACATAAGATTAACAAAATGGAGGAAAGAAGGGAATTAGAATTTCAAGAAATTATTCAAAAGATGTCTCAAGAATTCAATGATTTCAAAGATAAAATGACCAAAGATTTTGACACATTGAGGCAAGAGTTTGCAGCCATCAAAGACCTGAAAAATATGGTAGAATCCCTCAGTAACAGAATGGAGCAGGTAGAAAAAAGGATCTCTGACATTGAAGATAAAACTTCTGAACTCACCCAAGTGCTCAAAGATGAAGAGAAATGAAGAGAAAAATGGATCATTCTCTCAGAGAACTCTGAGATAATTAGAAGAAAACTAATACTCACCTTATAGGAATCCCTGAAGGCGATGAAGTTGCTTCACAAAACACAGAGGCTCTTCTTCATGAAATTATGAAAGAGGACTTTCCAGATATGCCAAGAGATTCTGAAATTCAGATAGCAGACAGTTTCAGAACCCCAGCATGACTCATCCTGAATAAGACATCCCCCATGCACATCATAATTAACTTCACTAAAGTTAATATGAAAGAGAAAATTCTGAAAGCAGCTAGACGTAAGAAAACCATAACCTACAAGGGGAAGAATATTAGAATGACTGCAGATCTCTCTGCTGAAAGCTTTCAGGCTAGAAGAGGGTGGCCATCGACTTTTAATCTCTTAAAACAAAACAATTTTCACCCCAAGATCCCATATCCAGCTAAACTGAGTTTCATTTATGATGGAGAAATTAAATACTTTAATGATATTTACATGTTGAAGAAATTTGTGATAACTAAATCAGCTCTCCGGGATATTCTCAGACCTATCCTCCATAATGACCAGTGCAATCCTCCACCACAAAAGTAAACTCACTCAGAAACGTTTGATCAAAATCCAACTTCCACAGTGGCAAAAGGATTGAAAATGTCCACTGGACTTTCAAAAAACTAGATACCCAAAATTTTACCAGGCTTATCAATATTCTTAATCAATGTAAATGGCTTAAACTGTCCCTTAAAGAGGCACAGATTGACTGACTGGATACAAAAACTCAGGCCAGATATCTGCTGCATACAAGAATCTCATCTTACCTTAAGAGATAAATAAAATATAGACTCAGAGTGAAGGGATGGTCAACTATATTCCAGGCAAATGGAAAACAGAAAAAAGCAGGTGTTGCAATTTTATTAGCAGATACAATAGGCTTTAAACCAACAAAAGTAAGAAAGATGAGGATGGTCGCTTTATATTTGTTAAGGGTAATACTCAATACAATGAGATTTCAATTATCAATATTTATGCACCAAACCAGAATACACCTCAAATTATAAGAGATACTCTAATAGGCATAAGCAACTTGATTTTGCCCAGCACCATCATAGTCGGAGATTTTAATACTGCTTTGGCAGTGTCGGATAGATTGTCCAACAAGAAGCTTAGCGAAGAAATTTTAGATTTAAACTTAACCATTCAACATTTGGATTTAACAGACACCTACATAACATTTCATCCTAATAAAATTGAATGCACATTTTTCTCATCAGCCCACAGAACATACTCCACGATTGACCACATCTTAGTTCACAGGTCTAACCTTAGCAAATGTAAAAGAATAGAAATTATTCCTTGCATCTTCTCGGACCATCATGGAATAAAAGTTGAACTGAGTAACAACAGAAATCTGCAGACTTATACAAAATCATGGAAGCTAAATAACCTTGTGTTGAATGATAGGTGGGTCAGAGATGAGATCAAGAAGGAAATTACCAAATTTTTGGAACAAAATGATAATGAAGATATGAGTTACCAGAATCTCTGGGATACTGCAAAGGCAGTCCTAAGAGGGAAATTTATAGCACTGCAAGCCTTCCTCAAGAAAATGGAAAGAGAGGAAGTTAGTAACCTAATGGGAAATCACAAACAACTGGAAAAAGAAGAACACTCCACTCCCAAACCCAGCAGAAGAAAAGAAATAACCAAAATTAGAGAAGAATTAAATGAAATTGAAAACAAAAGGATTATACAACAGATCAATAAATAAAAAAGTTGGTTTTTTGAAAAGGTTAATAAAATAGATAAACCTTTGGCCAACCTAACCAAGAAAAAAGTGTAAAATTTCTAATTTCATCAATCAGAAATAGTAAAGATGAAATAACAACAGACCCTTAGAAATTAAAAAAATCCTTAATGAATATTACAAGAAACTTTATTCTCAGAAATATGAAAATCTGAAGGAAATTGACCAATACTTGGAAGCAC